CTAAGCATCACTGTTAACTGCGCACATTACCTGTCCCTTCAAACAAGCAGACAAGACATTCTGCCTGCATATTACTTTTTCTCTTTGTAATCAACTGTTGACGTTGACCCACTCTCAGTGAAGGAAAAAATAGCGAAAAAAGGGAACGTGTTTTAATTTGAACGACGACGAAACATTCACAAGGCGAGCATCTTACGTTTAGGGATAAACGACTACTCATAAAGCTGTACACGACCAGTATAAACATACCCTTAAATGTGCAGAAAGGTCATATAAAAAGAGGTCATTATAAATTGGTGCTGTTTGGCTTGATGTGTGACCGGGTTTCCAACAGTTTACAAAATACAAGATCTTGTCTCTTTAATGCATGCCCCGTTTTCGGGTCGTACTTTTAAAAGGCTTTTTACGTGTCACAAATTTTTTTCTTCGCGCAACGTTCTTTGTTACCCTAAAATGGTTGAAGGAGAATATTTCTCGAACTTTTTAGGGGATTAAAAATGTTTAAAAAGTCATTCGCAAATTGCGTCTGTTATTTCTTCATTTTTTTCAAACAAATGTAGCGTCCACCGGTTTTTCCGAACTATGTACGTACCTTACACACATGAGGTTTTTTTTATATTTGACTAGCGACCCGCCCAGGGGGCTTACTCTTGAATCCAATTCCGATCGATCGACATTGACATTGTGAAATTTCGTACTCTTAAGGTGCAATACTAGCGCCCATTGCATCCGTATTGCGTGAATATTTAATAAACTAAATGCTATTGAGTTTGGCTTTTGGCCTGGAGTTTGGCCTCACTCTGAATGCTATTTTAATAGTTACAATAGGGGTTGTATAGTTTTGACATTGAATAAATTATTGAGATTTTATTGGATTGAAATTAGCTTGACATTGAGATTGGTTTTAAGAGTAAGCACCCAGGCTTGGGCACGGGTACAATATGCATGTATTATACATATAAACCTTCCTTAAGAATTATTCTATCTATTAAAAAAGACCGCATCAAAATCTGTTGCGTAGTTTTAAAGATCTAAGCATACATAGAGACAGACAGACGGCGGATAGCGACTTTGTTTTATATGTATTATTATGTAGTAATGGGCCGACGACGTTTGACCATGATCTCCCCTGATGGTAAGCGATGATGCGTCTACGATGGATCACGTCGTCCCATAAGCAACCTATTCACTCGGGCCTTGAAGACACCCAGGTTTCCTTTCAGGAAATACAGACTCTGGCAAATAATTCCACTCCTTAGCAGTACGCACAAGGAAGCTTGAGGTTATTACAAACCTTCCTAACGAATTATGTTGAAAACTGAATCAATTTAAACTTTCCGAATTTTGTTAACTGTGCTCTTGTTTATTGGTTAACCAGCTATGAACTTGTGATGAATGCTTCATCTAAAATGAAAATTTTGAAAGTTAGACGCTTAGACAGTATCATTGCAGTATTTTTCGGAATATGTATTTAATTTATGAAGT